TTAATTTTGTTAAACCAAATGATAACCTAACGAATTCGTTTACAAATGAGTTGTCTAGAAAGAAAAGACTACACATCGTGGGAAATGTGTTTAAAACGTAAACTAATAGGTCAACTTAATGAAAAACTAACCTGGCAACTGGAGATCTCACAGACTAGGTTCAATAGGAAAACTAATTATAAATGATTCGATGAGAAGCACTTCGTAGTTTAACTCTTCCCCATTATTATGATGCAAAAAAGGGTTGCCTACCAAATATTAGTTAGGATAAATTATGTTTTCAATGATAACTATATCTTTTAAACATTACATGTCTATTATTGTATGATACTCTTTATAGAGCATCAATGGTGTAAGTATAAATTTTATCATGTTGACATTTGACCTGTAACCTAATTAAATCTGTTTGTTATATGCACTTAGGTCATGTTAAATTAAGGTCGGATTGGCAAGGTTGATTGTACTTATGATCGTCGTGGTTTGATGGGGACATAATGATTGTAAATTCCTTACACATTGTCAAAACATTCAATCAATTAATGACATTCGGAAGGAATTACGTCAGCATCCACCAATTCCACCAATCATATGTAATAGTTTTATTCTCTAATCAATTCATTAATTACTGAGGATCTCATTTAAGGTTGACTTCATAATTGTCTAATGGAGCTGACATCAGCAACCAATAGGAATATGTAATTGGTGTATTTTCCCAGTTTGGTATTATATGTTGATTTGACAACAACCAATCAGGACTCAAGCCATGACACAGTTTCCCAACTTGGCATTGTTGTTGACAAGACAGGAATGCAAAAGATACATGATCATCATTTCCTATAAAAGGGGGATAGAATCCTAAAGAGGGAGGGAGCCCCACAATTTCATATTTCAAATATCTCATTTGATAAAAGCACTTGTAGTTTTGTGACCAGTTATCAACAAAAATCCTTATTTACACTTGAAGTTGACTTGAATTTCAGTTATACAATTTTCAACGTCAACATATCGATTTTATGAGAATTTTACTTCAATGAATTCTCTAGCACACTTGCAGAATCCAAGAATGTTCATGACCAAAATAATGAACACAATAAATAATCAAAGTTAGATATGAGAGAGAGA